TTTCCCTTCCATTTCCTTTAGCTGGTAGGTCAGTGTCTCATGCATGCTCTCTCACTTGATAAACCTATTCACACATACACATCTATATATATTTTTGTGAGTGTATATATATGTATGAATATATGCACTCTGTCTGGAGTTTTTATAAAAAAACAAAGGCCCCAAACCTCAAGAAAACCCCTCCCCATATGGAACTCCCAAAGGGTACAAATAGTTTGTTGTATCAAATCAGTAGCATCATTATTTGTTATTTTTATCCAATGTAATGACTACTTTGGCATAAATGATGTCTTCTTTCATTCTGGAGGCATAGATGTTGAGCATAGCAGTGTCTTATATGGAATACATGGTATTACAACTCAGGTCTGTCTTGTATTACTGTGTTAGTAGAGGTTAAAATACAAGTGATATGTTCGGAGGACTTGTAGGACATGCAGTGTGAAATATCAGTTAGCAGTGGACTAAAACCCTGTTGAGACTGAAAACCCCATTGAGTTTTAAGAACATGCAGTTTGTTTGGATCGGAGTCTGAATTCAGGTCTCCACAATGGCAGGACCATGGCTACCCAGGCTTGGTTTAGCGAGCATCAGAAGAAGTACTATACAGACTGCTGCTTTTGTGTATTAAAGACTATTTCCAAGTGTTGTGAAGGCTTTAGCAGCAGAGCTGGCACAGCACTTGTAGGTTATCTTGAAAATTCATGTTCATTTCTCTCTGAGAATATGTACACTGCTAAACTGGGCACATGTTGTTGTATCCTCACCATTGGCATCATCCCACATTTGTTGCCAAGTCCAGAGGCATGGTGCTTTTTATGTTACAGTACAGTATGACATGCTTTCTTCCTCAGTGGCTTGTAGTATTTGATAGTTCTTTAGTATGAGATGGACGACAACTCTCAAACCATTTTAGCCCATGCAATCACTGTAAATTGGATAGATTATAAAACCCCAGTGACAGCAATACACAAATTGTAACTGATTTTGTTTCTTGAATGAATTAAGCCAAGGCTGTAGTATTACCATTTTGAAAAGTATTTGTGTATGAACTGTGAAGGATTTAAAAAGAAAATAAAAACCCCCTAACTGTTTTTTTTTTCATAAAAGTATACTATTAAAGAACAAATAGCTTGCCTCTAGTTTGTTCCCCTTACCTTACTTTGGTGTAGTACTTTGGTGTACTTTGAGCTATTTATTTTTCTAGTAGCAAATGCTTTAGCTCTGTGGAAACCTGGGTCTTCTTAACCTCCTTGTGACAAATGCCCATGTTTTAATAACTTCCATGAAGTTATGTTCTGTTCACTTCTGTGAAATCATGAATTATCAAACCAGCCAGTTTTCCACATTGAAACCAAGCAATGCTTATTAAGAATCTGGACGCTTTCTCATTTTACTGCAGTACTACAGGTTCTTGACATAGCCAATTTATAAATACTTAAGATGTTTTAAATTACACCCTCACTGAACCATTTTATGTAAATGTTATTAATGTCTCTTCCATATATCAAACCATATGTTGTGTGCCACCTTGTCTAAGAATCAGTTTCTGTCTTTTATTTAAATACTTGCTTGCTTGGCAGCTTCTTTGGCCTTAAATTCAGCTGAATAGTGCACATGCTAGAACAAAAATGCTTTTGGTTGCTATTATGATGACAGTTGTTTGTAAAAATTAAACTTAAAAAGCAATTTAGATTTTTTTTTTTTTTTTTTTCTGAGGTAGAAAAAGGGTGAAGGATAAAGTTGCATTGTTTCTCCCACTTTTTCCTCAAACTAAGTGCAGGTATAAAAGTGGTGTTTGTTTCTGTAACCTGTCATAAAGTCTTAGGAAACTGATGTGCTACTGATAATATAATTATATTATAGTTTTGTTTAATTGCTTTAGGATTTTGATAGTAATCTTTCTAGACAGGCAGCATCCTCAATAGGTAGTTTGCAGAGAGGCACAGTCTACCAAGTCCCAAACGATCTCTGTAGATTTGAATGTTTTCTTTTGTCACAACACTAGAGCCAATTTGATTAGTGAGACTTAAATATTAAGGTATGTGAAGAATTTATCAAATTTGGAAGTTCATTAACAAATCTTGCTCATCCTTTTCTTTTCTAAAGCTTGCAGCAGTGTCTGATGTTTTTGTGGAAAACTACGTCCCTGGGAAACTGGCTGAAATGGGTCTAGGTTATGAAGACATTAAAAAGATTGCTCCTCACATAGTGTACTGTTCAATAACAGGTATTTTAGTTTCAATTACTTGTGTTCATTATTTCCTTTGTTCCAGTCAATTTGCTATAAAAGTCATGTGATTATATGGGAGTATATTATTGTGAAGTCAGACAAGATACATGGAAA